GATAGACTAAATAATACAAATAACTTATTACAATTCCCTTCAAAGTAGTGTTGGTGGGATGTGACATCCTTCATTCAACAAGGCTCGGAACATATTAAAGACAACCATAATTATTTTTTGCAGACCTTGTGGTGAGTGGTTTTGAAAATGCTCAGTAGGGGTGGACTTGGCCTTGAGGAATAGTTACAAGTCAGCTGAATCTAAGTCTGATAAACAGAGTTGGTGGTCAAGTTGGGTAATGCTGACTCACATCAGTGACAGGGCATTCAGTTCAACACAAAGAGTAAGACTCCCTCCCTGTCCTTAAGAAGCTGTGGTCCGGATTGAGAGGAAGTCACACAAAAGACAATTTCAATACTATTTCATAAGAAGTGTGAAAGTTAGGAAAGGGTGCTTTGGCATTTGGAATGATGAAAACGTTCTAAAACTGGATGATGGTGATGGGTGCAAATTTGGTAAATGTACTCCAAATGATTAAATTATACACTTAAAACAGGTGAATTTTATGATATGTAAATGATACCTCAATAAAGTTTTTTTTTGTTTTTTTAATGTTTATTTTTGAGAGAGAGAGTGAGAACAGGAGTGGGGGAGGGGCAGAGAAAGAGGAGACAGAAGATCCAAAGCAGGTTCTGCCCTCTCAGTGCAAAGCCTGATGTGGGGCTTGAACTCACAAACTGAGATCACTACCTGAGCTGAAGTCAGATGCTTAACCAACTGAGCCACCCAGGCGCTCCTAAAGTTGTTTTTTAAAGAAGGGTGTGGTGGGAGTACAGGCATTCTGTTTTGTTCTAAATTAAAACTACAGTCTTCACCACCCTTGTCAAACAAACAGTAAAGAAGGGGGAAGGGGAGGTCAGAGAAGTGGTTAAGGTTTAGGGTGGTCTTGGGTTCTTGGGTCTTGGATCTGCCATTAAGTGAGGGGAAATAACTCAAGGGCTTCATGCATTCCACCTGCATAGTCAAATTCATGTTTTCGATCCATTTCAAAAAAGCAATCTGAAAGATGCCAAGGTTGGAGGCAAGGAGACTGGTAACAAGGACATTGGAACAACCCTAGAGAGAAACGATGGAGGCTGGAGCCAGAGTGGCAGCAACGGCGTGAAAAAGAAGGCACAAGTTCACGAGCATTTGGGTAACGGTGGGAGGACTTGGTAACGGGTGGGATGTGGGTGGTGAGGGGGAGAAAGGAGTCGGGGAGGGCTGCTTAGGTCTCTGTCGTCAGGGAGGGAACGCAGAGGAGGATGGCGGGGGGTGGGTGGGGGGGTTGGAACAGGCTGGCACGCCTCTGCAACATCCATTTGGAAACAACCCCCAAGCAGGCGAGCCCGTGATCTCGCCGATTTGGGGGAGACCAGGGATTTCAAGTCGTTAGTCTATGAGTGGTGGCTAAAAACACAGGAGGGATGAGATGGGTCACGGGGACCTTGTGAATAGAAGAAAACTGGGCTGATGGAAACCTGGGGGAATGAGCATTTGAGAGGCAGAGAGAACGCTGCGGGAGAAACAGTAGGAAAATCAGAAGAATGCGATGTCAGAAGGCCAAAGGAGTAATGTTTTAGGAAGAAAAGAGCTTATAGTGTCAAATGTAGATAAAGCTTGAGAAAACAAAGCCTAAAAAGGCGTCTGCTGGACTTGGCTACTGACCTTAGTGAGAGAACAGTTTCAGGGGAGGGGAGGTGGCAGCCAGGCCACGATGGGTTAGGAATGAATGGGGAGCTGGGGAAGGTGGGGGGAGAGGTGATAGAAATGTAGCTGTCTGGGGACATCTTGGGCTGTGGCCAGAGGAGGACGCAGGGTCTGTGGGCAGCTTTGTTCTTTTGTTCCGAGGACAGGAGGGACTTGAACATATTTGTAGGCTGAGCCAGTTAGAAGGAAGGAAATGTCCATGATCCAGAGGAGAAGTGCCTGGATGGAGAGGGGCAGGGCACAGGGGGATGTGGACCAAGAGCTCAGGCCAGGCACTGGCAGGGAGAGTGTCACTTCACCCTGGGGACTTGAGGGGCTGGATGGGTGTGCAGCCTGGAATGGGAGGGGAGGGGTGCCGTGGCTTCCCACCTGATGGCCTTGCTTTGTTTCCTGTGTGTGTAAAACAGGAAGGGAAGTTCTTTGTTGAAAGTGTGGGGATTGGAGGTCTGGGGGAAAAAAAAAGCCAAAAAGTTTAAAACGGACGATAACAGAGGGAGCTGATGGACGAGTAAACATGTTGATGTGAGTCAAGCGTCACTCCTTCCTCTCCCCCACTCCGCCTCTCCATCTACCAGCAAGACGTCGCTTCTGCTTCTGTTTCCTGGGTTGGGCCACTTCTCACCACCTCCACTCCTACCCCCTGAGTCCAAGCCACCATAATTTCTCTCCTAAACTTCTATCAGGGTTTCCTTATGAAGTTTCTCTGCTGCTTCCCTGGGCCCGTTTGGTCCTTTCCCCACACAGCAGCCAAAGTGATCTTTAAAAGCTGTAAATCGGGGCGCCTGGGGGGCTCAGTCAGTTATGCGTCTGACCGGCTCAGGTCATCATTCCATGGTTCCTGGGTTCGAGACCTGCATCGGGCTCTGTGCTCTCAGCACAGAGCCTGCTTTGGATCTTCTCTCTCTCTCTCTCTCTCTTTCTCTCTTTCTCTCTCTCTCCCCCCCCTTCGTCCCTCTCCCTCAAAAAAAACACAAAAAACAAAAAAAAAACACCCCGTAAATTAGATCATACCACTCCCCTGCTTAAAATCATCCAATAATTCTCACTGAGATAAGAATAAACTCCTAACACGAAGCTTTGTCCTGAGAGATTCAGACTGATATGGTCCTTTTTACCTCTTCTGCCTTGTCCTGTGCCACATTCTCCCTTAGTCAATGTGTTTCAGCTACTCTGGCCTTGTTTCTTCCAGGGCTCCAAGTTAATTTTTTAAAAATGTTTTTTATTTATTTCTGAGAGAGAGAGAGAGACAGTATGAACAGGGGAGGGTCAGAGAGAGAGGGAGAGGCAGAATCTGAAACAGGCTCCAGGCTCCGAGCCAGCTGTCAGCACAGAGCCTGATGCGGGGCTTGAACCCACAAACCATGAGATCATGACCTTAGCCGAAGTCGGATGCTTAACCGACTGAGCCACCCAGGTGCCTCTCCAGGGCTCCAAGTTAGTTCCTGCCTCAGGGCTGTTGCACTTGCTTTCCTTCTACTCTGGCTGACTGTTTCCCATCTTTTACCTCCATGACCAAATGTAACTACCCCAAACCTCTGTTTATTTGCTTCCTTATATTTATCAGTAATTGAAACTATCTTACATATTTACTTGTGTGTAGCGACTGTTTCTCAATCCCAGAAGGAGAACTCTGGGAGAGAGGGGACTTCATAGGACATAGTTGGTACTTAAGCAGTATTGTTATCTATAAGGACAGTGTTCAAAGTATCCTTATTAATAAGGACACTGTTGAAAGCTCAATGAGATTAGAAAAATAAGACCATGGTGACTTTAAGCCACACATTTGTGTGATTTTCTTAAGCACAGACCATCAATAACGATAATCATCATAATAATGATTGGTTTTCTTACATGCCTGTTCTGGAGACAGTTTCAAACACGTATTTCCAAAGGAAGGTCAGATGGCAGAGGCATCTCAGTGAAAAGTAGATGGATTCCCAGGGTGACCAGTTCAGATATTTATGTTCTTATTCATTTTACAGAAATTCCCTCAATTTTATAGTCTTGTGCGTGGGTTGGCAAGTTGTGGGAGGAAATTGCTGACTGTTTCCAGTCCCAGAGCTAAGCTGTGTTATACAGGTGAAATCAGGTTACTGAGATAGGTCTGGTTTCCTTGGTGACCCAGGAGGTTTGGTTATATTTGAAATTGCTAAGAAGGAGAAAAATCTGATAACGACAGTTCTATGTTTTCCTTAGGGAAGGAGCACTTTTCAATCCTTGGCTGAGGCTGAGGACATGCCTCCTTGATTGGCAAGGGTTGACCTCTGGCCAGCCAGCTGAACGCCACTTTCTAACTGCTTCCAAAATCCCACACCCAGTCTGGCAAGTTTGTCTTATGCCAGCTCTGGGTAATTACATCATGACTCCTCAGGCTCCCTGTCTGGTTTGTTTTTGCATGTAAACACTGTAACTAGGGTGACGAATAGTTAGCTTATTGGAGAATGTGCTAACACCTTTTTTTCTGGTGGGATGACAGTGGAAGGGCATATTATTTTATAAATGGTAGTTCGATCCGGTTAACTCTTTAATATTTCTTTTTCTTGATAGCTGGTTTATCAAGTGTCATTTGTTTATCAAAGGTTTGTGTGCCGACCTCTGTGCTAAATGCTTTTTAAGTCTTATTTCATTTTCATGACGATATTATGAAGTAGGTACTATTATCTTAAAAAAATTTTTGAGCCCATTTATTTATTTTGAGAGAGACAGAGAAAGAATGAGCAGGGGAGGGGCAGAGATAGAGGGAGAGAGAGACTCCCAAGCAGGCTCTGCACTGACAATGCACAGAGCCTGATGTGGGGCTCAAACTCACGGAACTGTGAGATCATGACCTGAGCCGAAACCAAGGGTCAGACGCTTAACTGACTTAGCTACCCAGGCGCCCCGAAGTAGGTACTATTATTAACCCCATTAAATTCTTTTAAATGTTTATTTACTTTTGGGAGAGAGACAGAGACAGAGTGCGAGTGGGGGAGAGGCAGAGAGAGAGGGAGACACAGAACATGAAGCAGGCTCCAGGCTCTGAGCTGTCAGCACAGAGCCCGACGCGGGGCTTGAAGTCACAGATCATGAACTGAGCTGAAGTTGGACGCTTCACTGACTGAGCCACCCAGGTGCTCCATTAACCCCATTTTAAAGATGAGGAAGCACAGAGAGGTGATTTCCATGGTCACACATCTAGGGAGTAATGGGTTTTGGATTTTAGGAAACGCTTACTGCTGATCAGATACTGATAATGGACCCTGAATTCTCTCAGAATGCTGTAAACCGGGGGGGGGGGGGGGGGGGTAATCTATCTAGTTTTCTACGATTACCTGATACTCAGAGTCCACTTTGTGCTGCATGTCCCGCAGATACTGAACATCACTCACAAACTTCTGCCTGTGAGTGGCTTCGTGCAACATGATTCTCAATTCCCAACCTGCATGTAAAAGATAAATTAATGTGCTTTGGCACAATCCTTTGTTGCTTTGCCGTATTTGGATTTAACTTAGTATAATTGCTCTTACTCTTTTATTAATCCAATTTCCATTATTTGAAAGGCACAGATGCTCCTTTCAACCTGCAAAGACTTTTTGTATTGGTGTTGATGCCCTTATTTATGCCTCCTGTTCCTGGCATGAATAACGCAGCCACACTCATCAGCTGGCTTCAGTGATCTTGTCCTGGTTATTCAGAGGGCATTAGACTGACAGACACCTGCTTCAGGAGCAGTTCTACAACTTGACAAAAAAGAAAAAGAAAGAAAGAAAGAGAAAGAGAGAAAGAAAGAAAGAAAGAAAGAAAGAAAGAAAGAAAGAAAGAAAGAAAGAAAGAAAGAGGAAAGGAGGAAGTGAGGAAGGAGGGAAGGGAGGGAGGAAGGAAGGGAAGAGAGAGAGAGAGAGAGAGAGAGAAAGAAAGAAAGAAAGAAAGAAAGAAAGAAAGAAAGAAGGAAGTGAGGAAAGAGGGAAGGGAGGGAGGAAGGAAGGGAAGAAAGAGAGAGAGAAAGAAAGAAAGAAAGAAAGAAGGAAGGAAAGAAAGAAAGAAAGGAAAGAAAGAAGGAAAGAAAGAAAGAAGGAAAAGAAAAAACGTAGCTAAAGTAGCAATGACTGAATCTATGAGCCCTTGGCAACTTAAATTCACTCATTCAGCTATTGCTGTGTCCCTATTCCAGCTGCGGCACTAGGCTGAGCACTGGGATATAGCAGCTGGCGAGAGGAACATGCCCTTTGCCTTTGTGGTGTGAGACCCTCTGAGTTTAAATCTCAAGCCTTTGAGCACTGACAAGGGAACCCTAATTGTGAGAGGTGCTATGGACTGGAAATGGGGGCTTCTTTGAGACATGGTTGTTATGGGGGGGGCATCGCATGATCTAGGGGCAAGGGTTTCCTCAGGAGAGGAGAGCTGTGGGGAGGGTCACTTGGAGTCGGGAAGGTTATGACTGGAAGAGCCACACACCACCGCTGGAAGGTTCCAACCTGGGGAGTAAATGGTTAGATTTGCATTTAACCTCCCCCCCCCCCATCTAGTGTGGAGAATGAATGGGGGGCATGGAGTAAACATGGAAGTGGAAAGACCACTGGGAATACACGACAATAATCCAGATAAGGCAGTGACCACATTTGGGTAGCGACAGTGGAGAAGAGGAGGAGGAGGGGGAGGAGGAAGAGCCACAGCTACTGTTTACTGAGCCTCCTGAAGTACGGGCGTTGTTCTAATCCTTTACACACCTGAACTCACTCCATCTTCAAGACCATGCTTGAGGCAAGCACTATATTTCTATTTTGCTGCTAAGGAACACGGGGCCCAGAGGGAGTAAGTCACTTGCTTAAGGTTACAGAGCTAGTAAATGGTGGAGCTGGGATTTGAACCCAGAGGGTCTCACACCAGGGTCCCCACTCTAACCAGGATGGGTGGGAGGGCTCCTCGGGACTGGTGATTATATGGATGGTGCGGGAGAGGGAACCTGGAGGAAGCCCCCCGGGGTTACTGGCTCCAGCAGCTAGCCGGTCGGGGGACAGCATCCCCTGGGACAGTTCTGGAGGAGGGGCACAGAAAGCCACATGGAGCTTGCAGCAAATGGAGATGTCAAGGGAGCCATCGGAGAGGTGAAGGTCTGGGCACCGCTGGGATACGGGTGACCACCGGACCTGGGCGACCACCGGACTTGAAGGCAGAAGGTGTGCTGGAAAGAGGAGAGCCCGAGACAGAATTCCCAGGCCCACTCCGGCTTAAGAACACGGAGCGGAAGACAAACTGCAGAGGAGCCAGAGAACAGAAGGACAACCAGGTGGGTGCAGTTTCCGCGATGCTGAGAAGAGCAGGTTATTTATAACCTTGGTGAGAGCACTTGGCGAGGAGCGGTGGGGCTGAAAGACTGCAGGGAGCCGCGCGCGGGAGAGGTAAGGCAGGCGAGCCAGTGCCTCCGAGGGCTTGGGCTCCGATTGGCGTGGCCTCGATTGACGGCCAAAATATTTAAGTCCACAAAGTTATTAAACGGCGCTGTTCATAATGAGCCTGCTGTTCATAATGTCCAGCGGTATGGTCATCCGAGGTCCCGCACCTCCCGCTGATTGGCTTGTGAAGTGCTCGCGTTGATTTCTGCACGTATTTTTTTTTTTTTAATTGACGTGTAACATTCGTTTCCGGCGTACAACGTTATGCTTCAATAAGTCTAGTTAACATCCATCACCCACACAGAGTTAAAATGGTTTTCCTCTCGTGATGCGAACTTTTAGGATCTATTCTCCTGGCAACTTTCAAATATACAGTATGATTTTATTTTCAATGTTTATTATTTTTGAGAGAGAAAGGGGAGCAGAGGATCCGAAGAGGGTGCTGCTGCCCGGGATGGGGCTCAAACTCATGAACCAGGAGGTCATGACCTGAGCCAAAGTCGGATGCTCAACTAACTGAGCCACCCAATAACGCCAAAATATACAGTATTATTAACTATAGTCACCATGCTGTATGTTACATCCTCAGTACTTATTTATTTCGTAAGGGGAAGTGTGTGCATGTTGACTCCCTTCATCCATTTTGCCCCCCTCCCCACCCCCTGCTTCTGACAACTGCCAGTCTGTTCTTTGAATGTTCTCTGTACCTATGTTGTTGGTTTTGTCTATTTTTTATTTATTTTCCAAAATTTTTATAGTTTATTTTTGAGACAGAGCACAAGTGGGGGAGGGGTAGAGAGGGAGGGAGACACAGAATCTGAAACAGGCTCCAGGCTCTGGGCTGTCAGCATAGAGCCCGACGTGGGGCTCAAACCCACAGACCATGAGATCATGACCTGGTCAAAGTCCGTCACTTAACTGACTGAGCCACCCAGGTGCCCGGTTGGTTTTCTGTTTTTAATCCACATATGAGATTATACAGTATTTGTCTTTCTCTGTCTCTCTATAATATAATGTATACATAACAATATACACAATATATCTCACATTTTATCTATTCATCCATCAATAGATACCTAGTTGGCTTCTATGTCTTAGCTATTGTAAATAATGCTGCAGTTAGTTAGGTGTTTTGGATAAATACCCAGATGTGGAATTTCTGGATCACATGGTGGTTCTTATGTTAATTTTTTTAGGAACCTCCATACTGTTTTCCATAGTGGCTGCACCATTTTACATTCCCATCAACAGTGTGCACAGACTCCCTTTTCTCCACACCCTCACCAACCTTTGTTTCTTATCTTTTTTGATACTAGCCATTCTAACAAGGGGAGGGGGGCTGGTATCTCACCATGGTTTCATATGTATTTCCATCATCATGAGTGATGTTGAACACCTTTTCATGTACTGTTGACCACATGTATGTCGTCTTTGGGGAAAGAAAATGTCTATTCAAATCTTCTGCCCATTTAAGAATCAGGTTTGTTTTTGTTTGGCTACTGAGTTGTATGCATTCTTTATATATTTTGGATATTAATCTCTTATCAGATATGTGATTTGCAAATATTTTCTCTCACTCAGTAGGTTGCCTTTTCATTTTGATGATGGTTTCCTCTGCTGTGCAGAAACTTTTTAGTTTGGTGTGATCCCACTTACTGGTATTTGTTTGCTTTTGTTGCCTTTTTGTTTTTAAAGTTTATTTACTTAAGTAATCTCTATACCCAACATGGGACTCAAACTCATGACCTAGAGATCAAGAGTCGCATGCTCTTCTGACTGAGCCCGCCAGGTGCCCCACTTTTGTTGCCTTTGGTATCAAACCCAAAAATATCATTGCCAAGACTGAGGTGAAGGAGCTTACTGCCTATGGAGTATTAGAGTTTCAGGTCTTAGGTTCAATTGTTTAATCCATTTTGAGTTCATTGTGCATATAGTGTAATATAGTCCAGTTTCATTCTTTTCCATGTGCCCATCCAGTTTTCCCTGCATCATTTACTGAAGAGACTGTTCTGTCCCCATTGTAAATTTTTGGCTCCTTTGTCATAAATTAATTGACCACATATATATGAGTTTTCTGAGGCTCTCTATTCCGTTCCAGGGATCTATGTGTCTGCTTTTATGCCAATATCATACTGTTTTATTACTATAGCTTGGTAATATCATTTGAAATTAGGAATGTCTCCAGCTTTGTTCTTCTTTCCTACACACATTTTTCAATAACTACCATGTGACAGGTGCTGCTGTAGGCTTGGGGAAGCATCAGGATAAAATAGACAACTTCCCGACCCTCAGGTGTGTCTGCATTCGGAAGCTTTCCTCCTTCTCTCCATTTTTTTCAGTTGTGGAGATATTGGCAAAATCAGGTTGTCCCTGACTCATGGTGACTCCATGTCTGGACTGGTCATTGTGAAATCTCACCAGGCTTATCACCTACCCCTGAGCAATATCACCCAGCAACTTGTGTTGCTTCCTGGGAAGTTATTGTCTCTCCCATGTAGAAAGTTGGTCTTTGAGGGTTGGAATCTAAAGCTGTAATCCACCAGATAGTTCCACAGACTACACACAAAACCCAAAGTTTGCTTCTGAGCATTTAGTAGTCATTTATGGAACTGCACTTTAAAAGATCACTTTCAACTCTGCCTATGAATTTGTACCTGCACAGAATGACGTTCCCACTCTTTTCAGAAAACAATGGTGCTAAAACAGGCAGAAAGATGAACTCTTGCTGCTTCTGTTGGAAAGAGAAGACTGTCTGAATATTAATCAGGCAGAGAACATAAGGATTCATAATGAAAATATGTTAATGGTCACTAAAGGGGCACATCCCAGAGCCCACTTGGATGATACATTTTGGTTACATAGAAAAACTAGCTGACAGAGCCTGGATTTAATGTGGTGTTATGTATGTTAAAGAGGCTCCTGAGTCAAGAGGCATGAAAAAGCTTTGTCTAACTAGGTAGGAAATAACACTGTTTGAACTGCTTGCTAGGTTACCTCTGACTTCACAAACACCTACCAAATAAAGGACTTTAAAATTACCTACAAAAGTCTCTTTACCTTCCCATAAACTCTCTATTGCTGTACTTTACTATAAAATGAATATTTAGAAGCATCATGGTGCCACATGTGCTTTCTTATTTAAATACATCAATAGTCTGTGAGAGTAAACAAATACCACAGGCACTGGGCAAACGGATTATTAGGAGATCACCGCAGTTTGGGTAAACACTCTCCCCCTTTCTGAAGTATCACTTGAACTTCATACTGCATTGCAGGTTTGAAAACTGCCCAGGACGAACAAGAAACAGAAATAACTGTATGGAAATAAGTTCACATGAGATCATGCTTAATCTGCGGATCTTAGTTTAGTGGGCCTCTCAACCAGATGGCCATTTGAAGCCCCCAAATTTTTCCTCAGCAAATACAGACAGGGGTGTGGGGGTGCGGTGATGATAATAAAATGTGGGCAAGGCTCATGTTTCTAAAATAGCACCCTGTATTCTCTCCCATTTCTCACCTTTGAACTGCTTCTCAGTTTAAAATCCACTCATGGTCATGCACGCTTCTGTTTTAAGTCACTGGTGACAGTAGATTGGACCAAACTTGTGCTTTAAAAATCAACATAAGAAGGCATATTAAATTCGGAGAGGGAGAAGGAGAGAAGGGAGTAGAAAGGATGATGTAGGGAAGGGAGAGGAGCCCTGCTTTGCTGAAAGCAAGAGCGAATGGTTCTTCTTGGCCTCAAAATTCCACATATCTGTGAAATTTCAATGAGGAATATTCTAAGAACTTTGTGACATATGTATTCCTCTCTAGTGTAAGATTGCGATGAATTCAAACCAAGTTTCCCTGACTAAGGAGAACAGACTCTGATTGCAGAATATATTTCAGTTCTCTAAAATATCATACATACTGTCCTGCTCAGTGACCACGTTTGTCAAAAGAATTGAACGGAGCTCTTTTTAATGACATCAAGCTATTTCACTGTTTTCTTATTAGAAGTTTCTAGTATGTTCTTTTAGAAGTATTAACGTGAATATTTTATTGGTTCAGCAATAAAGAAAAATGTAAATTTAAGCCCCTCTTTAGCCTGAAGTTTCCTTTGGACTAAAATCTAAATGGCTATATTAATACCTGACAATCAGGTTTATAAAGTCCCCCTTTTCCACAAATCGGTGCTTGGAAGAAAGACTTCAGAACTTAGTTCTACTTTTAATTAATTTGTAATGACAAAGATTATGGGATTCCTTTAAATCTTGGCTTTAAAAAATCTTGAGAGTTTAAAAATCTTATAAAAATGACTTGAATGTAAGCAACAAAGATGAGTGATCTGGGGCCAATTTTCCTAACACGCTGGTACTCAGAGAATGCTGTGGCTGAAGGGAAAGTGGAGGAATTGAGATGGATGAGGTGGGTGGGTGCGTGGGTGGGGGTAGATAATCAGACTCCCCCAGCCAATTTGGTTTAAGAAATCAAGGGGGGGCCTGGGTGGCTCAGTCGGTTAAGCGTCCGACTTTGGCTCTCACCACTGATGGTTTCGAGCCCTGCGTCGGGCTCTGTGCTGACAGCTCAGAGCCTGGAGCCTGTTTCAGATTCTGTGTCTCCCTCTCTCTCTCTGCCCGTCCCCCACTTGCATTCTAATTTTCTCTCAAAAATGAATGAATATTTTTTAAAAATTAAAAAAAAAAAGAAATCAAGGGTTGGGTTGGGGGGTGTGTAAAGGGCTCATAAGTGAAGCTCTTTGGCGGTGACTCTTCATTTTATTGTGAAACTGTGGCAGAGATGGGCGGCCATGCCGTGGCCTTGCAGACCAGGGGAGCCTGCAGGGAAATTTTGCAGCTGCGGGGCGGCTGCCACAGTGCGAATATACGCGATCCCAGAGCCCACCCGCACCTGTCCCTTTGAGGCAGGAAAGCACAGGGCACAGTGGGGGACAGAGAGGGGCCAGGCCTCCAGGCTTCGGCCCCATTTCCCTCCAGAACGGCAGAGGTCAAAGGCGAAGTCGTCCCCCCCCTCCTCCCCACGCCTCCTCGGAGGACTGGGGGGCGCAGGGGGGGGGCGCGCGGCGGGGACCTGCGGGCCGTTACCTGGCGGGTCAGTCCTTCCCCACCTGCTAGGGCTGAAGGGGCCGAGGGGCGGGGCAGGCGGGCCGGTGGGGCGGAGGAGCCGCCCATCAATCGCGCCGGGGGGCGTCTCGGTGCTGCTCCTCCTTCTCCTGTCTCGTCTCCCCTCCCTCTACCCGGCCCCTCTTCCTCCTCCTCCTCCTCCCCGGAAGCAGCTTTCCGCGGCGCCGGCGGCCGGGCTTTCTAGGGGCGGAGGCGGCGGGGGCGGCTGCCTGGCGTCCTCCCGTTCCCTTGGCAACGCGACCTCCTCGCCCCGCGCGCGCTGGCGTGGGGGGCGGGGCGTGGGCCGCGGCCTTGCGGTCCAGAGCCCGGACGCGCGCGCGCCCCGCGGTTGCCGTGGGAACGGGATGCCGTCGGGAAGGCCTCGCGGTGATGGCGGCGGGCGGAGAAGACACGCTGAAGGAGGAGGCCGGTTGGCTTTGTCTTGTTGCCCAGGCCCAGATACTGAGACCATCATTTCTGCCCCGAATCCGTGCTGGGCTTTATGAAGAACGTGGTTAGAAAAGGAGAGGGGAAAATGTTTTTTAATTGAATAAAACAATATTAAAGGCAGTGTACGGGTAGATGGGGCAGCCCTGGAGTTCGAGCTGTGCGAGGGATATTCGAAATACCTGCCCCAACATAAGAAGAAGTAAATGATCTAAGCCGAGGGAACCCCCACCAGTGGTAGAAGGGAGACCAGACCTCAGTTATCTCCTGGTTATCAGTAATCTTGGCTGCCTTTCCCAAGGAAGGAGGTTCTTAGAGCTTTAGACTAGTGCCCAGAGATTTGGAAACAAGGACCAGAACCTGTGCTAGCCTCACCTTCTCTCTGCCAGGTTTATTTCTGTCTGTTGTTTGGTAGGCAAAGATGACTCTTCCATTTATTTTGCACATGTAGGCGCTCAATGACTTACCAACTGATGTCAAGTTAGGGCATTTTTGGTTGAGTGGAGAATAGGGGGAAAGGAGAATAGAAATTCTTGGACTTTTCGTCAGTGCCCAGCATCCCTAGGTGTCTGTGGTTTGGGTGTCTTCTCAGCAAACCCCCAAATCCAGTCGGCATCCATATCTCCTGCAGCATTGCACCATTCCTTGTATTGAAAAAATTAAAAAAAATTTTTTTATGTTTTATTTATTTTTGAGAGAGAGAGAGAGACCGTGTGAGCAGGAGAAGGACAGAAAGAGAGGGAGACACAGAATCAAGAGCAGGCTCCAGGCTCTGGGCAGATAGCACAGAGCCCACATGGGGCTTGAACCCACAAACTGCGAGATCATAACCTGAGCTGAAGCCGGCCACTTAACTCAGCCACCCAGGCACCACCCCCCCCCTTCCTTCTATTCTCATCACCACCATCCTAGTTTGGGGCTCCAGGACCTTATAACTGGATTATTATAAGGGCCTCTTGCCCACATCTTGAGCCGGTCTTCCATACCCCATCCCTACCATTTCCCTTATTCCATAAGCAGCTTAGATCTCAAGGAGTGGTCCCCTTGCTAAGAAGCTCTCAAAGATTCCTCACTGATGTGGAATGAAGTCCAAACTCTTGACTATGGCTTGCCCTATACCCTCCCCCAGGCCTTGCTTTCTTGGTTCTCCTCTGTCAGCACTTCTTCATTCATACTTCAGCCAGACCAGACTGCATATTATACCCTAAACATTACTCCCTGCCTTCATGACAACTTCTAAGGCATATCCTGAGCCAGGCAGAGTCCAGATAATATGTACTTAGGTAAAACCTTTGTTTGGGGCACTTTGTCATCTGCCCTTCATTGGTCCTTCAGCATTCACTAGTACTTTTCCATCCATGGTAGCTCAGCCCATGTTCTCTTGTTGCCAGCTGGCTATCAAGTAATCCTTATCAAAACATTAACGGATAATTAAAGCATTAACTGAGAAGTACTGACCTAAGCCCTCTCCCCATGGTTTTTACCTTTCAATCTTCTTAACATTATTTTTTAAAATTCAAGTACAGAGGACACACAATGTTACATTAGTTTCAGATGTACAACATAGTGATTCGACAAGTTTATACATAGTGCTCTGCTCACAAGGGTAGCTACCATCTGTCACCATGCGACGCTCTTACAATACCGTTGACTATATTCCTTATGTTGTCTTTTATTCCCATTACTTATTCATTCCATACCTGAAGCCTGGATCTCCCACTCCTCTTCACCCATTTTGCCCATGCCTGTGCCTCTCCCCTCTGGCAACCAGTTTGTTCTCTGTATATATTAGGTCTGATTCTGCTGTCTGTTTGTTTAGATTCTATGTATGGGTGAAATCATATGATATTTGTCTCAATCTGACTTATTTTACTTAGCATAACACCCTCTAGGTCCATCCATGCTGTCCCAAATTTGCCTTTCAATCTTTTTTGTTTGTTTTTAAAAATTTATTTGTTTTTAGAGAGAGACAGGTTGTGAGGAAGAGGCAGAGGGAGAGGAAGAGAGAGAATCCCAAGCAGGCTCTGCACTGTCAGCAGCGAGCCCTATGCGGGGCTTAAACTCATGAACTGTGAGATTATGACTTGAGCCAAAATCAAGAGTTGAGCGCTTAGCCGACTGAGCCACCCAGGCGCCCCTGCCTTTCAATCTTTCAGACACACTGATCAAAAGTATAAGTGAAATTATAGATGTAGACTTTGTTCTGTTGAAGCTAAGACCCCCTTCAAATAAAAATACTCAAAATGATGAATGATAATCAGTGATTAGTAATGCCTAACAGAGGGAGGAAGTGGAACCCAGGTGAGAGTTGGAGAGAGACGTGAAAGGGTGGAGGATCCATGGTAAGAAGCTGACCAGGGTCACAAGCTTTGCTTCCCATTCTCAGCTCCTGACTTTGCCTACTAGTAAGAAAAGCACCTTGGTATATATTAGACCCAGATTTTTTTTTTCCTTCCACTTCAACATCCATATAAAATAATACCATTCACTTTAAAACATTGCTCTGAGGATTAAACAAGAGAGGACAAAGCATTTAACATCATACTTAGTATATAGTAAGCACTCAATAATCAATACCTTTACTTTCTGAGGCACATTGTAAGATTTTATTTAATGCACATGAGCACAAACCATAAATATTTTCAGATTTTTATTGTACATATATATTTAAGTAGGCTTCATGCCTAGCACGGAGCCCAGTGTGGGACTCGAACTCACAACCCTGAGATCAAGACCTGAGCTAAGATCAAGAGCCAGACACTTAGCCAACTGGGCTCTCCAGGTGCCCCTATTTTTTAATTTTTAAAGTAGTCTCTACACCCACTGTGGGACTTGAACTCAGAACCCTGATATTGAGTTGCATGCTCCACTGACTGAGCCTACCAGATGCCTCGTATTTTCAGATGTTTAAAAAGCAAGGTTTGGAGATGTCATTTCATATCTCAGCTTTAAACTTTTCTACATTTCAAAGTGTTTCTAAAAATTAAGTTCCATGAAAAGAATCTTGGTGCTCTTGAAAGAAGGTGACAGTACTAGGGGTCAGCCTGTTAACAGTTACCCAGCGACTCCACCTTTAGTGTTTAACGAGTAAACTTAAGCTTGGCATGTAAATAACAAGTAAGTCTAGTGTTAAGAATCAAAGTGCTGGGGTGCCTGGATGGCTCAGTTGGTTAAGTGTCTGACTTCAGCTCAGGTCATGATCTCACAGTTCATGGGTTTGAGCCCTGGGTCAGGCTCTGTGCTGACACCTCAGAGCCTGGAGCCTGCTTTGGATTCTGTGTCTCTTCCTCTCTCTCTGACCCTCCCCTGCTCATGCTGTCTCTCTCTCTCTTAGAAATAAATAAAACATTAAGAAAAAAAAAGCAAAGTGCTAAGGAAGAGAAATAGTAGCATGAGAAAGAAACACAATTTCTGTTTGGGCAAAGAATTCTGCTCTTCCTTTATTCTTTGCAAAATGTCTGTGGTAGATGATGAATTAGTGAAGAAAACAGAACTTAGACTCAAGTAGATGGTGGGTTTTAAACACAGAGATAGTTGGTGTTTACAAATAAGTGTCAGGAAGTTCTTTAGCTTAATCTAAACGTTCTGCAAAGGGCAGCTTCGAGTATAAAATTTCAGAAATGTTCCATGTCTTAAGTTTCAGAAATAACATTTTTGAGGGAAATAATTTAATTCATGCAGAGAGTAAGTTGTCCAGAGGGGGTAGCTATGCATTCTAAGCCTCCCGAGGCTGGGACTACGCCCTAAGCCTGGGCTATCCAGGAACCTCATGGAGACCTGGCTCAGCTACTCACTGCATCTGGAACAACGTGTGCTCTTTGTCCCCCTCATATTGCCTCTTCCTAAGAGAGAAGTCTAACTAGGTCACTTTGTTACTGCTAATGAGGAGCTCTCCTGAAAGGTTATACAGCTGTATGCTAAGTGGCCCCAGAAGCTGATGGACTCCCTTATACACAACAGGGTCATTTTTGCCTTGGGCCTCGCCATGACTAATGGGTTTCTCTTCTCATCACTTAAGGCCAATATGGCGATGTTGCTTTCATGCAATGCACAAAGCATGAACCATGACTGTTTGTTTACAGGAAGAATCTCTGGGAGTGGCTTCCCTAAGAAGGGGACTGTGGGCATGATAGCCCTTTAATGCTTCATGGGTTCTCCTCCAGAACCCCTTTATGCAGGGGATTCATCTCATTATTTTTATTTATTTTTTATTTTACTTTTTGGTTTTGAGAGAGAGGGAGAGAGACAGCAAGCAGGAGAGAGGGGCAAAGGGAGAGAGAGAATCTTAAGCAGGATCCACACTCAGCATGGAGCCTGATGCAGGGCTCAATCCCACGACCCTGAGATCATGACCTGAGCTAAAATCAAGAGTCAGATACTCAACCAACGGAGCCACCCAGGTGCCCCTTCATCTGATTAATTTAAAAAACTGGCTAATGGCTTATTGAATTTGCCATGGGCTATTGTGACATTCCGCATTCATCCCACAGCTATATTTGGCCAGGCTGAGCATGCAATGTGACAGTCTCTTAATGTCACTTATTAAAAGTGGCCTATATAGATGTCATTAAGATGGCTCGAGAGCTTGGGTAGGACGTTTTGAGGGAGGTCACTGAAGACCCAGGATTAGGTCCTGGATTTTCTAAGATCAGAGACACCATGTTAGTTAATTTGGAGCTGATCTTTTTAGGAAATGATTCTCAGTAATTCTACTCAGCTAGACTAAATGTCCTCCACTTGACCAAGTTATTTTATCTCAGAGAGTATGGCCAGTAGCTGACCAGCCAGGTCATGTAC